ACACGGGGTCTGCTCTCTCGCCCGCGCAGCATAAACGCACCTCTGCGCTATGCGGAATACGCGAAGAACGGAGTGAAACGTAATCGCACGCTTCGATGCTCGCGGGAAGATTGCTCCCCGATGGGAGAGAAAGAGAGAGAAAGAATGCGGTGGTGTACGCGAGTTACGCGATTACGCTCGTGGAGAAGCATTACATCGTAGTGCAAAATTAACGAGAGAAATTAAGTGGCCGCAAGTGAAGCGAGACGGTTGTTTTCATAAGCGAATATATAAGGAAAGAGGAACGGTGAGAGAGAAAGAAAGATTTTTTTTCTTCGATTTCGCGAGATATCGGACGTTCACTCTCTCGTGCGCGAGACATTCGTCAAATTCGACGCGGACGTCACAAATTGCAGCTGGAGAAGAAGCGGCGCGGAAATCGTTGAAAATACGTGTAAGAATGTGGGGATTGCGCGCGAGAAGAAGCAAGGGAATCCTTACGAGAGACAGAAACGAGGAGGTAGATAGGTACGAACATTTTTCAGGAATTTATCGGTCGCGCGCGCGGCTCGAACTTTCCATAAATTATACTTTCAGATCGATCCTTCCCGGATATCGAACGAAAAAGGCATCAAAGGCCGAATGCAATTATTCGTATTCTTCGCGTATTGAAAATTACGTCGGGGCTTGTAAGAACGCGGAGAGCGAGGAATGCGAAGCTCGATCTTTGATCGTCGTTAGACGGCGGAGTTGAATTAATTGCCAATTCCGTTGCGAGATGCTAAAATGTTGCCAAACCGCTGTAATCATTACCCGGAACGATCGCGGTAATTTACTAATCTATTTACGTTTACGCCAATGCCAAATACAATCCCAATAATTTATCGATATCGGCCGCCCACGGCTTCGGGCTCCATAAATCTTTCGGGCTGCCAATACGCGCGATTTTCGCGTCGCTGCAAAATGAAATGCAAGAATCATCGTGTCTGAATCAAGAGGGTATACGAAACCCCCATACATTTCCGCCCGTACAAGTCGTATATTTCACGTCGACGCCTAGAAAATCCCTTCCCGACTATTTCGTTTGATATCGCGAATCGTATGGTACGCGGTTCTCCCGGCAAATTTGCAGAGCTGGAAAAGATAGCCGCGAGATCAGAATGTGTCGATTTTATAAAGCGGGACAAATCGACAGGCGACAAACGACGGAAATTGTGCAGTGACACAATTCCTTTTATTTTTATTTTATTTCTTTTCTCGAACAAAAAAATAAGTTTCGAAATCTTTCCGATTATATATTATATAAGTTTTCCATTTATTGTATCGTTTTCTACATCAAATCAAATTGAATTGACAACCAATTATGAAATGAAAATTAATTAGAAATTATATTAGAGATTGAGGTGTATGAAATGTCAAAATTCAAGATTTGCCGCAAGTTCTCGTATAAGGTAAACGTAAAGCGCAAATCAAGACTTCGAATCTCCGAGAGTTCTTTACGGAAGTTTCTTGGTTTTCAAGTGACAGCGAATATTGTGAATAATTAGTAAATTCGATTAATGTTATTTCACGACGTCAAAGTCGAGAGCAAAACGTTGCAGGAGCATCCTGTAATGTAAAGTTGACATTTGACGTTTGGAAAAGAGCTACGAAGAAGATCAATATGAAAAAACTAAAGATCAATATGCAAATTTAAAATGATTTTAAAATACAAGATATAAAATATGTGAAAAAATTAAAAGAATTTTATTGAAAAATAGTAACGCCTTAAATATTTATTTGAATAATATTCGATTCTCTGGCTGCGGAAAACGATGGGTGGAATTTCGCTGATTGATAAAAATTGACGGGAAACGTAATCATATGGCTGTACGCGGAGGTTGCCAAGCGGAAGGAAAGGAGCTCACGGGTCAATCCACTGTTGCATTCTTCATCAGCAACTTGAGCGTTAATGCACCGACAATATACGCGAGTAGGGAGAAGGCGGGATCGATAGTACGGCGTAAATCTCCCCCGTAAATAGATACGACCGAGTTAGATGCCGGACGAACGAACGAACGAGTATGAATTCCGAATAGGATGTCTCGAATTTCCGCACATGCCGATGAATCTCGGCATTTCTCTGTACCACCCAGTAGTTTTTCAGTTATCGTTTCGCGTAACAATTATACACGGTGTTAGTAAAACGCCCTAAATGAAAAAAAAAATCGTGAATCTTTCACGACGAACGGTTACTAGGTCAATTTCTATAGTGGTCCAGAGACGACGACGTGAAATATCACATCGGTTACGGTAATTTTGAAAGGTTTCTATGGAAACTGAAACATAGAATATTGGTACAAAGGGGAGTAAGAAAGAGCAAAAATGGGTCTATGTGCCCGTCCCTTTTCGGCACACAGACCCATTTTCGCTCCTTCTTTGACAAAGAGGAAAGAAAAGAGCATGCAAAATGAAACCCGTCCGAACTGGAAAAGAACCCAGAAATTGAATGATAGATGGACATATGACGTTAGTTCTCGTGAATTTTGTTTCGATGTCTTTCTTCAAAAATATCACGACACTGAGAGAAAAAATGCAAACTGTATTTTACATTGATATAAACTGATATCGAATTATTTGTTGAAAATCATAAACCATGAAAAAATTAAATTTAAATTTAATAACTATATATACTTAGATATTATTCCTAGAAAATGTCTTTTACAATTTATTTGTTCTATTTATCGTTTTAAACGTTCAGCTTGATTTCCTCTAATTAATTAGTCTCGATCGATGCGTGCGATTTTTATTCCCGTCCACCTTATGCTCGTCTCTCATTTTGCTGTCTAATGAGTCTCAGAATCATTATTTTTTCGCTACAGCGCCTCGCATCCAAACGAGCAACAGTTTTGCCTCCGCTCCTCGATATCTCTCTCTCTCTCTCGGAATCTCCCGAGAGAGTTTAAGAGCGAGACGAGATCGGACGATGACACTTGCTTCGCGTCTTATCGCAACAGACAATCCTCTTGGAGACAGATTATGTTGTTAAATCGTTTCGGCCGGGACTGATCGAGAGGGAGGGATAGGGGGACCGAACGAGTTAAGAAAATTTAGTGGCTGCCAACTTTATTAGGCACGATTATATTAGAGCCGCACGGCACGGACGGCAGTGATTTATTCACTCGGTCCGGTCGGTTTATGCACGCATGTCTCGTGTATATATGCGTTGTTGTATGCGTGCGGGCCCGGGTACGTGCCATATGGCGAGGAAACGCGGTAAATCATTGCTTGTTAACCGTGCGCGGGCTCTAAGCTCGTTATAAAGCGAAGTTCAAACTTTTTAAGTATGCAAAATGCTCGCGCGAGAGCAAAAAAGCGCCGCGTCGCGTCGCCTCTCAGCTACTGATATAACTATGACGACGATGATCGGCTATGCTGCTACGCTACCTACCTCTTCTTGCAGGACTTCTCGAACCGAACGATAATACTTTGTCAAGCGCACTTTTCAACTTCTTACACAGCCAGTTTGCAAACTCCCCCAACGTTATTTACGGATGTGCGTGCTAACGACGCGCCCGGTAATTCGCGTCCTGAAATCCGCTCGATCTAACGTGAGAAAAGTATTTTTTTTTTCTAATTACGTGAAAGTATTCTCTTGCACTTTTTTTATCAAAGACTGGGAAAAGACTGCAGAAATAGAACGGATTAAAATATGAGAAAGAAAAATATTTTTTTGATCAATTTAATTAATTAAATAAATGAGATGAATATTTTTAGATTTTAAATACGTTAAAATTATTTTCATTATTATTGTATAATAATAATTTGCAATGATTCACTGAAGCAAGATAAATATTAATTAAATAATATAATTATCCGAAACATGTTAGCTGACAAAGCGAACGTGAAATGAAGCGCTTGTATGAAAGCATCGCGTCAGCAATGTCAAAATATTTTTCCACGATTACATTATAAATGTAGGATCTCTGTTACGTTCTTATGCGTGTATATATTTATAGAGAAAACAGATACATCAGATTTGCGTCTTCGATATTCCGTCTTCATATTTGATTATCGACATGTCTTTTGAGACGCTGTATAAAAGTTATGGCATCTCAGATTGTCAAGACATTTTTGTCGCTTTAAAAGACCAGAACTATATTTGCTTAAACTATTAAATAAGACCTCTTAATTATGTATAAATTTCCGGAATAAAAAGCCAACTTGATATGTACGAGCCCAGAGAAGATAAAAGTGAAGAAAAGCCCAAGGCTTATCGTAAATGACCAATTTTGTTCTCACCACGACAGCTATTCATCGTGCGAGAAGACGAGACGTAAAGACGTCTAGACATTATTATTTAGGGGGGAATCGAACCACGCCGAGAGAAGCTTGCGGCTATCTCGCGGGAGATATCCGATAGAATGAAAGGGAGAGAGCGCGTATAAGTTGACTATCGATGCTTAACACCGGGAACGATCGCTGGTTATCGCCCACTAAGTCAGAACATCGATGTTAAGGCTTGATATTGAAATATCTTGATTTCGCTACTTCTAGTGTCTTCTAATTCGCTTCTGCGTTACTTTAATATGATATATAATTTTGTAGGGCTTGTGTAACAGTGGGACGATAATCGAGGATAGAGAATTAAGTTATATGTCAATTCGATTCATTGCAGATAGATTTTAATTGATACAAATAAATCGACGGCATTAATTGAGAATTTGAGAATATTGTAATTTCCAAGTGTTCTCTCGATTACACAAAATATTACTTTTTAATATTATTTTATTTCAGTAACATATCTAAAAAAACGATTGTATTTCATAATTAATATGGGTTGTATTTATTTAATGCTTTATTTTACTTTATTATATCATTTACTCTTTATATTAATAAAAATCCGTCGAAAAACCTTGTATAAATAATTCTTGTTATATTTATTTTTGTTTACTATTGCAATATTCTCTTTAATATCCTCGATATTAATATCGTCGAAATGACTTGTATCAAAAATAGAAAATTAAAAAATTAGTACGAACCGATGCAGCAGAAGGTTGAATGCCATGTGAGTATTCCAATCAACGCAGGAAGATCACTGAAACACACAAAACATTGCAAATGTTAGAAAAAACAAAAAATACTTTTATATATATATAATCCCGTCAATCGAATTCAATAATAAGAAAATTGCCAAGATTCTTCGATATATACGCGAAATAAGCGCTTAGCTCGAAACGGAACGTTATCCTAATGGATGCTAAAAACCGATATCCTTTCCCACATCTGCCATTTGACTATCTATTCTATCTACTTCTTGCAACGTACCCCGCTCTTACAGCCGATAATATCATAGGGCAAAGCATCATCGGGTCTCATGGATCGAGCATCAGCTCGCATCATTTTCGAAATATGGAACGTTCAACGGAAGGTCATCCATCCCTATACCATTTCCGACATTACCGTTCGGTATCGTTAAGAAAATGATAGTTCCCGGCGCGAATTGGCGGGAAAAATGGAACAGCAGGTGCTCGTGCCGGCTACGCAAGCAATCTGTCAGTAGGTGGAACCCGTGTAATGACGTAGCGCCGATTCCTACGAATGTGTTCGCGTTGCGTGCAACGTTTCTTCCCGGGACGATCTCAACTTTTCGCGTCCTTCTGATGGCGCAATAATTACGTGGGGGCAGAAGAATGCAAAGTAAGCTGTATTTTTTACCATCGACGCGTTTAACATTCATGAATATTTACTAGGTCCAATTTTTCATTCAAATCAAAATTATATACGTAACTTTGCGAGAAAGAAACACATGTGTGTATTTTTATACGTGAAAAAGAAAGGAAAGAAGATGCGATTTAACGGCCGAATTATTTTTCTTTCAGCTCGGTAGCGTTTAATGTTAATGCGATATGCTGGATGGTGTTATTAATTGCTAATATGTCGAGAGATATAAATCTGCGATATGAAAGGTGAAAGTGTTTAAAAGGAGTATCCGCAGATTCTGTAGGAGTTAAATGTTAAACATGCGCCGAACCGTTTAGTTACGCCGTCGTTTTTCCCCCTTCGTCTCATCGCGTGCAGATTAGAGAGTTAGGCGAACGCTATTACATTCTTTCTTTTTTGTTCCGTCACGCTAAAAAAAAAAACCGAAGGAACAAGACGCGTATAAATTTCGGCCTAATTTTCAAGGCTCTCGTCGAGAGACGTATACGATCATGCAAATTCCGCGAGATTGTTCGTGCTCGAAGGTCGGCTTTCTTTAACAAAGATTTTTCTTGTCTCGCAGCGCGAAATCTCTACGACGTCGTCGTTTCGTATACGATGCGATACAAGGCGTCAGAGTGTTGGCGGGAAAAGAAACTGTGTCGGCACTTTTTCCACGTCGGTTAAGCTTAGCCGGGACAATCGGTTTTCCGTGGAAATCCTTGACACCGATCGTGGTTTGCCTTGCTGCTCCAAGATCGACAATGGGTCGTTCTAAGATCGGATGGTGGTGTCTCGGTATGAAAATCCGTAGTTTCGTCGTGCAAAAGCCGCTTAAAATTCCACTCGAAACTATGTAGTATACACGGAATGAAAGAAAAAAGGAATAATCTCACCGCTGCACTTCGGACCTATGAATTATTCACGGTTGTTATAAAATAAAATAAAAAAGGCACGCGAAGTGTTCGCGTCTCTACCGCAAAATTCGCTAAATAAATAATATTCATACGAGATGAATGAAGCTGTATAAAATGTAAAACGTAATGCAAAATATTTATTCTTCTCCGCGTAAATAATCAGAATAAGAGGGGGATGTAAAACGATGATTAAAAGCGGCTTTATTTTACAACAATCAATATTATTTTATGAGTTGGCTCGACTGAAAGTTTCCATTTTAAATGGAAAAGTTCGAATAAACACCAAAATGGTACATTTAATTTTATAATATTATATATCGCATAAAATGTGTATTTTTTAATTAAAATCTCTCTGAAATTATCTGAAATTATTTAGAATTATATCAAAATAACGCGTGTAAATAAATTTCTACGTCATGAAAACTTTATTTTTAATCTCAAAATTGTGCCTTTTCACGTCGATAGTATAAATCTTTACTGTTGTATATTAGTCACAATGTAAAATATTATTTAGCCACACAAATATTCAATCTCACATTAATTTGAATTTTCCCAAAATATAATCCTGAAAATACGTAGTACGTATTACATACGTATATTTTACTTTACATATACAACAATTTATTTTATCAATACTTTATATATAATATATACTTGTCAACATAGAACATTCATTATTTTACTTCCAATTCCTAAACACTACGTTAATAATTAATCACAATTATTAATTATAATTAATATGTAAATGATCACAATATAATCAGATGTATAAATGATTACGAGAAATTACGAGAGTCGGTGATATTACGTGCCACACCCACACACACACACACACATATATTATCAATGATAATATTGCATATTAATGCAGCCAATAACGGTGTTCGGGCAAATGCATATATCCCCGTAATGGATCGATTCCAATTGCTCTTATAAAATCGAGAACCGATTGAAAACGTGTTGGGTCACCTGGATATAGCGAAGAGGAGATTATCGTTGCGACCAAATCCCCGCCTCCATCGAGAAACGGCATCTATGATGGTGTGTGACCGCTATTATTGCGGTCTGCCGTCCGACAACCGTCACGCGTACCTACGCGCGTAACGATCGTAGGGGACTTCCGGAAGAGAAGGAAAACTCGGGCAGAGTAATAATCCCGTTGAAAACTACGCAATTACGGTAATGCGCCGCAAAGATGCGGGAGAAGAGAGAGAGAGAGAGAGAGAAATAAGTTTGTAATTTCTGGAGCGGGTGTGGCGCGTATACAGATAGCTCTGAAGGAAATTAAGAAATTGAAAAATATCGAGATGAAATAATAGTAAGTAAAAGCATGAAATAACCCGAATTTTATATTTTTTAGAGAAAATAAGCTATCTATAAACCACACATTTTTTTTCAATTTCTTACAATGTTTAATTCTAACTTTCAACAATATTTATATATTAACAAATGACTTTAGTTTCTCGCGTGGTAAAAATTTATGATTTCATTTTGCATCTGAAAAAAGAGACGAAATGAAAACGGTTTTTTTTTTTTTTGAATGATAAAATTCGACCATTTCAGCGGACACGTGACATACACCGGCGCTTTAAATTGAAATGTGAAAAATGTAAGTGACAGGCTTAGCGGATTGTTTGCTCCTCTGCTTCCGGTGCATGTACTATATGCATGTACGAGTACATGTGTGTGTGCGCACACGTATGGTACGAAGATCCTTCCGCTTTCTCCGCGGCGACCGTGAAAAAGAAGGGAAAAATGCCGCGTGCGACACTACAAATTCCCTCGCTTTCAGGAGAACCCGGTCGGCTCGACTCTCTCTTCGCTGCGAGCGAACTCTCGTCAAGCTGAATATTACATCGCGCGCAATTGGATGTCAAATTTTCCCCTTCTCTCTCTTTCTGCCACGTGCGTGTCGTGCGTGATCCCGAGACATAACTTGTATACGCAACCGTGCAACTTGACGCCCGGCACAACAACAAACTTAAGAGACATCTAATGTTTGCGTAGTCGCGGGAATTAAGGATACGCCCTATTCTCCTCTTCTCGCCGCGCAAATATATAGCTTAGCGTTGCATAGTCGGGGTCTTAACGCGCCGGTGTTTATGCTCGATATTATGGAAGTTATGTCGCACAATAATGATGCTGGAATTTTCCACTTTTGTGGAATGACGATCCGCCTCTTTATTCCGGTCCTATTATTCTCTCCCGCTCGCGTTATTTCACCAAGTCGAATCAGTCGAATGACCCAGCAGAAGACTATCTTCCGCCACGTGGATGTATTTATGACCGCGATAGCGCGACATCGGCTCGGAACGAGCCGGGACCATGAATCCACATACACACACACACACACACCATCAGGAAATAATCATTTTCATCTGTCGTTTTTTATTGTAAACCTGCCGCTGCGCCAACTGTCGCAGGATCGACATGCGGCGAGATAGTTTTCCAAACCACGATTGCCAATTTTTTGATTGTCGCGTGTGCTCACAAAGGGAGGTACTAGCTGTCGCTGATGACAGATACCGTTAAATCAAAAAGGGCGGAAATATTCTCTACGGAGAAGTCGAAATGTGTCGACTGGCTTCCCGAATCGGAGCGGGAGCGTTTTGCGTCGATCAATCGCGAAAATGTGTTCACCGACGGAATATAGCGGTCGCGTTAAAGTTTATTCGACTTTGGAAATGACATGTCGATTGGACGGCATTACGCGAGAAAAAATCGGTTAAATCACTCCCGGTCGCGCAATTTTCCGCAAATGGAGTTTAAAATTCAGAGTTGCGCGCGCTTTATCGACCCAATTATGCGTGTAACTCACATTTTAATAAATTTTGCCGATTATCATATTTTGCATAACATTGTTCTCTCCCTCTCAATTATATTTAAAATTTGAATAACTTTTCAAGAGACATAATAAACTGATATTTTCACTCGATTAAAATGATTGAACAAAAGATACTAACACACCTCAAATTTATTTTCGCCGATTATTCAATGAGAATAACGCAATTTCAAAAGATATTGTCGACCAATATCACGAACGCTTTTCCTACTTGCCCTTTTATATGAGGTAGATCAATTGACGATAAATTTCCCGTTATATGTACGTACGTACATGTAGCGTATAAAAAATGGAATAACCGCTCTAGAGAGTCTGACAACTAACTTTCTTGACTTATGTGTCTACCTGATTGATCAGGCGTACGCTATATCTTTTTTCATATGCACAAGTTCGATCGAAAGTTCAACGTTCTGCAGTTCGGAAAGTTCACAACTTTATCATAGTACATATATGACAAAGACAATATTTTTACACTCGCAAGTCGGTGTTATTAAACAACAGAATTTGTCGAGAAGTCGTTTGCCATTTGGCATAAAATATTGAATACAAAAGAAATTATAAAAACGGAAACGCGGTATGCAATTATTATATCGCAGAGGTCAATGCCATTTTTCAATTTCCTTTTCCCCGACTAGT